GGGGGCCTTTGCCAGAAAAAACCCCGCACGGCCACGCCAGTGAGTTGTGCCGTAGACCAAAGGACGAGGGGGTTCTGCGGAAATATTCTACTTGGGGTCTCAGAGGAAGGAACCGCGAAAGGGGGAAGACGCAGTTCGGTGCGTCAGTTGCAGGCCAGGCTCGTTTCTTTTCCCCCATCGAAGAGAGCGGCGCTGCCCAGCCAGAGCTGACCTTAGAATGTGAGGGGGACAAAAGGTCTCTGAAAGACGCGGCACTTCCTCAGGATGGAATGACCGGCGGCTGAAAGGAAGGGGGGTTCCAGTGTAAGGGATGAGCACCCCAGGGAAAGGGAACACTTACCAGGTAAACCGGGCAGGGGGTGGGGGAAGTATAATGACAAAGAGATTCAGCTCAAGCCCAGGTTCCATTTTTTCTTTTCCTAGAGTGCTCGCGATGTCCTGCTGGCTGGGCCCTTGCAGGTCCTTGCGGTTTGGAGAGGGGGCTGAGGGATGGCGGAGGGGGCTATGTTGGAACACTTCCCAGCTGGTCCCAGTGGCGGGTACCACTGGTCTCAACAGTAGAGGGTAACCGAATGCCAAGTTGCATCAAGATCCTGGTGGCTTCTGCTGGGCCAGCGCAGGAAGAGGTGGTGGGGGGAAGGCTACGTCAGGCACACACGGCCACGTCCAAGTTCAGGCTTCGGCAGTCTTCTATTTCTTGGACGCAGACACTGTCTGGGATGCAGACGCAGCCTTGGACGCGGGGTCGCAGAGCTGGGCGCGCATCTCCCGCAGCTGCGTGTTCAGCTCCTCCAGGGCGTCCTGCCGCGGCACCTCCTGCACCTGCGCCTGCAGTGTCTCGAGCGCCAGCGCCAGGTGGCCCACCTCGTCCCGCAGCGCGTCCCAGGCAGCGCGCTGCTCCTCCTCCTTGTGGCGCTGCTGCGTCTGGTGGCGCCAGTACTCCAGCACCAGGCAGCCGCCGCCTACGATGAAGATGGTGGCTTCACCCAGCAGCTCGGCGCCCAGCTCCGCAGCCGCCTCCTCGTTCAGCGGTTTGATGACTGTGCCCCGGAAGCCCATGATGCGCATCTTGGTCCGCATCTCCACCCAGTGGTACACTGCAGGGGAAGACAGGGGTCAGGCCACGCTCTGGGAGCCCCCTGCAAACCCCACCCCTCCGGGCTTCGGTGTCCCAGTGTCCCACTCGGAACGAGGGCGTCGAGGCTTTAAACAAGATCTGTGCCCGGACTCACCCAGGAAATGCAAAGTCACCGCCGGCCTGGGTGACCCGAGGGCATCTTTTAAAAGCACTAGAAGATTCTGGCAAGCAGCTGGGGAAGAGAAACACTGTCCCAGAGGGGAGCTCCTCAGACTGGGGCGCGCCCCTGGAGGGTCACCCGGAGCTCCCGGGCCAAAGTTAATGGAAGGCGTAAAGGTTCAATTGCCAGATGCTTAGCTCCTTCTGCTAGTCCCTGAAGTCAGAGCCACCAGGCCATCCTCCCCTGGCACTGTCGCCTCACCCGCATCCCAGGAGAAAGGCCAGCCCTCTTACTTTCCTTTTTTTCCCAAAAGGGAAAGCCTTGCTGAAATGATTTATTAAGTTTGTTTCTAGATTCTTTGCTTATTTATGTATACAGTCATACCACCCATCAATAATCAGTCTTACTTCTTCTTTTTCAATCTTTGTGCTGTTATTTAATTATTTGCCTTATTGCACTGGCTACAACCTCCAATACTGTATCTTTGTCTTATTCCCAACATTGGGAGAAAGTGCTCATTTTAACCTTTAAGTATAAATATGATGTTAGCTGAACCTTTTTGGTAAGGTATCCTTTGTCCAATTAAAGAAGCTTCCTTTTATTCCTAGTCTGTAGCAGGCTTTTATCATGAACAGGCATTGAATTTTATCAACTGCTTTTCCTATATATTTTTTCTCCTTTATACTATTCCTGTAGTGAATTATATTAATGTTCAAATGTTAAACAAACCTTGCAGTCATAGAATAAATTCTGTAAGTTCCACTAGATCGTGATATATTATCCCTCTTATATACTGCTGGATTCTGTGTGCTAATATTTTTGTTTACAATACTTGAATCCATCTTCATGAGAGATCTTGGCCTATAACAGAGGTAAGGGCTGAAAAGGGGTAGAATGTTCTGTGGCTGTCTCTTTAAAATCCCCCCACTCTTTTTTTGGGAATTAAAACCTGCATCCCTGCCCAAGGCCAGTCATCAGAGAGGCTGGGGAGTGTTCTTTGTTCTTTGTATCACAGAAGATGGCTCAATGGAATTGTCCCCACAGAGGGCAGAGGTCACGAGATTGTCTTCCCCGGAGATGCTATAGTTAAACAGCAATAGCCAGAAGCTTCAAATTCCCTTTAAAAGCTCTGTATTTCTGTTTAAAGGGAGGATGGTGTTACTTTAAGACGAGAGTCTGCCGTCCTCCTCATTTGCCAGCAAATTAATAAACTTCTCTTTCCTTTTCTTCAAACTGCTTGTCCTCTTTTGGCTATGGGGACAAGTACTGAATTTTTGATAATAGAAATGACTGTCAGGTACTGAACTCATAAAACAAATAAGGAAGTGTTCCCACTTTCCCTATTACTTAAAAGAGTTTGGGTGATGGTATTATCTCTTTCTTAAATGTTTGGAGGAATTTGCCCGTGAAGCCAGTCGGGGCTGTAGTTTTCCTTGTGGGAAGGTTTTTAATTGTGGATTTGATGTCTGTAACAAATATAGGACTATTCAGACTGTTTCTTCTTGTGTTGATATTGTTAAGTTCTGTTTTCAAAGGGAGCTGTCCATTTTTTTTTTTTTTTTTTTTT